ACAATCTTTTTTGATAATCAACACCATTCTGCTCACCACAAGTCGGGCACACGTCTGGTTAAATTGATGACTTTTGTCTTCATGTGAGAGAGGGAGAGAGTGGACAAAATTGTGTACAAAAGTGATAGTAATTAGAAGCAAGACAAATGAAGACAAATTGAATCTCCTCCTATTTTCAGGTGGCTCAACACCCTCTCTATTCTTGCCGTCATGCATTCGTACAATAAAGATAGGAGAAGTAGTGAGAAAGTCGGGGGATAAGAACAGAGTTTAAAGCAACTCTCAACATTTCTTCGATTATGCCATCTTTTAGAGAGAAATACGAGCAATTATCGAGATCCGGCTGCTACAAGATTGTGTGCTCCTGCAGTTGGGCATAAGTTGGTGAGACATTCAATAGACACTAGGGGAGCACAAAAATGCTTGTTAAGGGAGCTGGGTCCAATGGTCAGCAATGGCCGAACACGCAAATCAGAGACTGGACATGATATGGAATGATCTTAAATGAGTAAGTTTGCTGGCTATGGTGCGTCTCCTGTTAAAAGAAAGATAGGAAAGGCTATTGAAATTAATAGATTAAGTAATACGTTGAAAGTTGATTGAAAGTTAAGTAAGGACTACTTATGCTTGATTGAGAGATTGAAGGAGAGTGCGGTTGCTGAGCCACCATCGCAAAGAAGGCGAAGAAGATGGTTTTAAATTCACTCATATACATCAAACAGTTTAGGTTAACTTCAGCCTTCAAACCAGACTTACAAGATTACGCAGTCCAAGTCATGTCCTTCCTTGGTTTATTAAGGCTTAATGACTCTAGACTGAGAGGTTGGGACAGATGGTTTCGTAACCTGAGTTGGACACTTACGAACTTACATCTCAACCATACTTGCTTGCAGACTTATTCAGTCTCGATCAGGGCTTTTTATTGGGTCATTAAGCCTTGTTGACCAGAACCTGACATTAGCCTTTTTTATCACTCTCATTTAGGATCTATATTGTATATACACAAATGAGATGTATTCATCCTATTTCGTCCAAGGTGATGAAGGAAGTAGTAGAATTTTCCCACAATGATATGAGTTGAGCTGACGTTTCCATTGAATTTCACATAGCCTTGCTTTTCTTCGAAACTACCAGTAAATCAGTAATATGAGATGTATTCACCCTATTTCGTTTAAGGTGATGAAGGACTGGCCTGAGTCAAGAAAACTCCTTTATGTTATGAGATGTATTCCCCCTATTTCGTCTAAGGTGATGAAGGACTGGTTAGAGGCTACCAGTAAATCAGTGTAATGAGATGTATTCACCCTATTTCGTGTAAGGTGATGAAGGACTGGTATTATTTCCATTGAATTTCACATAATGAGATGTATTCACCCTATTTCGTCTAAGGTGATGAAGGACTGGTAGTCGAAACTACCAGTAAATCAGTGTAATGAGATGTATTCACCCTATTTCGTGTAAGGTGATGAAGGACTGGTAGTATGATTTTCCCACAACAATGATATGAGTTGAGCTGACGTTTCCATTGAATTTCACATAGCCTTGCTTTCCCAAAAGTTGTTTTCAACCTTGCTTTAATCAGTAATACGAGATGTATTCACCCAATTTCGTTTTAGGTGATGGAGGACTGGTAGAAGAAGAAATTTGCCACGAATTGATATGAGTTGAGCTGACGTTTTCATTGAATTTCACATAGCCTTGCTTTCCCAAAAGTTGTTCTCATCCAGGATCAGTGGACTGCAGTTTCGACCTCGCATTGGTCTTATCAACACCCTCAGCGGGATTCGAACCGCGACAGTGGAGGACGGTAGCTTGACACGCTAACCACTCGACTACACTGCCATAGTACCTGACTCACAAGGGCATAAGTGACTTTCAAGGAAGGTCAGGCCTCTGCTATATCATATTCTTTGGTGGGAGCCTTGAGTCACAGGGCATAAGTGAGTTTCAAGGACGGTCAGGCCTCTGCTATATCATATTCTTTTGGTGGAAGTTTAAGTCACAGGGCATAAGTGTTTTTCAAGGAAGGTCAGGCCTCTGCTATATCATATTCTTTGGTGGGAGCCTTGAGTCACAGGGCATAAGTGAGTTTCAAGGACGGTCAGGCCTCTGCTATATCATATTCTTTTGGTGGAAGTTGTCACAGGGCATAAGTGAGTTTCAAGGACGGTCAGGCCTCTGCTATATCATATTCTTTGGTGGGAGTGCCATCAGCGGGATTCGAACCGCTCTCATCCAGGCAGCAGTGGACTGCAGTTTCGACCTCGCATTGGTCTTATCAACACCCTCAGCGGGATTCGAACCGCGACAGTGGAGGACGGTAGCTTGACACGCTAACCACTCGACTACACTGCCATAGTACCTGACTCACAAGGGCATAAGTGACTTTCAAGGAAGGTCAGGCCTCTGCTATATCATATTCTTTGGTGGGAGCCTTGAGTCACAGGGCATAAGTGAGTTTCAAGGACGGTCAGGCCTCTGCTATATCATATTCTTTTGGTGGAAGTTTAAGTCACAGGGCATAAGTGTGTTTCAAGGACGGTCAGGCCTCTGCTATATCATATTCTTTTGGTGGGAGTGCCGATGAAGCAAACGTATGCTTGCTATAGCAATCGACAACGTTAATTATATTCGTAAGTGAGTAGGGTTTCGAGATTACCAGTAAATCAGTGTAATGATCCACCGTCCTGCACTGCCTCGGTTCGAATCCCGCTGAGGGTATTGTTAAA